AAAGGCAGCCAAAGAGGCCACTTGGATGTGCCAGGTCCCTGGTGGCCCCATGACATCACACTGGGAATGGCCACACTGCAGTTCACCTCCCCGGCAGAGAACCAGCAGGTCACTGCCCTGAGCCGAGGGGCCAGCACCAATCCGGTCTCATACACTCTTCTCCCCTTCCATGTGCTCCTTGGCTGGAGAGGGTTGCTTGTCCTGGCTGCCCTCAGGGCAGGAGGGTTTGGCAGGAGGAGTGGGGCTGCTGCTGGCGGCGGGCAAAAGGTTGGCCGACTGGAGCACAGCCTCCGAGTGCTCCCGCGCCTTCATGCGCAGCGCGGCCACGCTGGCGGTGCGGTTGCTTTGGCAGCCGTAGGTGGGCAGGAAGGAGAGGCCCATGGGGTCTGGAACGCAGCACGAGCACAGCGGGCTCCCTGGGGAGGAAGGAAAGAAGGCACCGTCACTGGTGGGGAAGGTTGTGGAAACTGACTGTTCCCTCCATGGTCAGTCTGAAGAGGGCAGAGATGGGGTTGACCTTAGGTGAGTACCTTAACCTTTAGTGGGTACATAGATGTTCTCTATATCAGGGCTAGAAAACCTGTATCCCGTTCTGCTGATCCTGTGAAGGATCGTACACTGTTAGTCACTCAGGGTAACAAACAGAGTGAGCAAGGAAAACAGACAGAGGTGAAGTTCAGATCACATTTGAGATTTCCTAACGAGTGAGGCTCAGCTCACTCCCTCCTCTTATATGAGGCTGCTGCTCTGTGGCTGCCATTATGCCATGCTGAGATGTACCCCGCCCTCCACCTGCACACTGAGCTCGATCAATGTGGGCAGCAGCATTTGGTGGGTGAGTGTAAAGGTTCTGTCACTTATCTTTGCCTGAAAGATTAAAGCAAAGAAAGGTAAAAACATTCCAGTTATTATGATGACCTTCTACTGTCTCACTGTAAGGCAAGATAGACTTTTCCTTGGCCAGGCCTCTGTCAACTACTGGCATCATGACTAACTGTAAGAGTCTGTTCTACCTTTACACACCCTAAGTCTGCGCTGCTTAAGGATGACACTTTGAAGAGAATGGCCTCCAGAAGTGAGTCAAAGCTACCAAACACTGTTGCTGCTGATATGGTTTAAGAGTCCCATCAGGAGAGATGGGCCAGAGCACCTTTACCCTGTCATCTGAGACGTGGATGTTCCAAGCAGGCAATAAAACACTGGAGAGCGGATGAAGCGAGTATTCGTCTCCCTTTAAGCGAAAAGGTTCCCTTGAAACCCACAGACAGAGGCAGTACTCACTCCACCAGCTACCCTCCTGAGCTGCAACACTTCAGGCTCCTCCTCTGGATTATCTTTGATAGTGCTGGGGGCTGGGACAGTTCCCAAACAAGCATACCTGGATGTGTAGGTTGACCACTGGGCTGGAAATTCAGTCCACTCAAAAAGCCATCCTGTTACCTAGCTTATATGCATCTATTGAATGAAGAAGAATATGTCAGAGGAGTAGGAAGGGGAGGCAGAGAGGGATGGCTGAGCTACTTTAACTTGCTCTCTGGTTAGAAAAGTCAAGTAACCCCATTTTTCCAGGGGTCTCAGAGGCTGCACAAACTCTACATGCTCTTGTACACCCCTGGCAAAAGCCTGTTTTTTGTTGATATGCTACCTCCCAACAAGAGGGAGGCCACACACATCCTGGCATGCTGCAGTATCTTCCCCTGATCTTTCCAAGCCAAGGACTTGCTTTAATTTCTGCAGTTAATATTTGAGTTAAATGGCTCATGACTAAGTGATGGAACTAATAACCTGCAGAGAGCAGGTAGTCTTTTTTCACACTTCTGTTCTTGGTAGCAACGGGTCAGCACTCATCTGCTAAGGAATGAAGGCAGGGAGTTGCTTGTTTTTAGGATGTCTGCAAGACTTCTCCACAGCAATTGCCAGAGACTTGCAGTTCCAAGTAACATTCAGGAAAAACTACTCTTTGCATTTTAAAAAACAGAATCTACAAAGGACAAGTTATTAATATAAATGGAAAGAACCCTTTTCTCTTATCATAGTTCTCTGATAAAGCATATGATCAGCGGACCAACATTTCTGTGGGTCCAGGCACTCAAGGGAATTGCACAAACAAGTTTCAGCACTTGACTAAAATCCTCCATTTTGTTTGCTTTTAGTATAATGAAGCTCAGGCTTGAATTCTGTGGCTGTTTTGAGCAAGGAAGTTTTAGAATAAAAACTTCAGAAGGAAGTTTAGAAAAAAAACTTCAGAAGGAAGTTTTAGAATAAATTCACTCGATAACACAATTTGTGCCATCACCAACCATGCTCATAAAGTAATTTTTTGCCCTGTTGAATTACAGCCACTTCAGGGGTTCTGGACAGCCACTGTTTTAATACGAGGGAGGACAGGCCCTTCAGAGTCCTCACAGTTTGCAGCAGGTCTTTACCTGCAGAAGCCACACAGAAGTCTGCTTATTCACTACTATTTATTAAGCCTCTCTATCTTAAGGTTCTACCCTGAGATGGGGGAGCATGAA